GATCTAGGTTACTCCAGACTTCTGGGGCCTGACCTTACAGACATTTTGCCTTGAAAGGCTTATATTTGTAAAAACTAAAATAATACCTCAAGAAAAAAAAAACCCTGCAGATATACCAAAGAATTATGCCAAAGAATTCAGGCTTAAAAAATCTAAACCTTACATTTTACACTCTATACTGGCTACTTATCAAATTTGATACCATTGGGGTGGGAGAGACAGCTTATCGGATAAGAGAACTGGCTATTCTTGCGGAGGACCCACCCAGGTTTAGTTCCCAGAATCTACATGGTAGCTAACACTGGTCCTTAACCCCAGTTCCAGGAGATCCAATACCCTCTTCTGGCCTCCACAGGCATTGCACACACATGGTGTACTTACATACATACAGGCAAAACACCCACACACATAAAAAGAAACAAATATTTTTAAAAGCTGACATCCTCAGGGAAATGTTTAGCTTCTATAGATTTCTTTCAGTTCTCTGTGTGTCTTCATCTGCTGTTTGTCCAGGAAACAGGTACTAATGAACAGTGACACTGAACTGGTTACAGAGGTTAATAATAATTTTGGCTGTATAAGGAAAACTAATGAAGTCATATTCACAAACAAATAAGAAATTCATTTCTCACTTAAAGTTTCCTAAAAAAAATTTAAAACTACTCAGTAAAACTAGCGGCAGGGTTCAATTTTGCATAAATTCCATTGAATCCTATGTCCCCTACATGTCAGTTAGAGGCCTAACCAAGACAAACAAGGTCTAACGTATGAAAACCATTCTGCTCTCAGTAACCCAGAGAACACTGAACGGCATGGCACTCATGAGAGAATCTGTCATAAATGGGACGTGGCTTCGTCAGGCACCTCTGCTTTTCTGCAGTCTCTTCTGGCTTGCTGTCTCCTCTTTACCTCTTTTCCTGCAAAGTCCCTGATCTCATACAGTCTATTTTACCTGAATGGGTTAGCTAGAAAGCCCACGATACAGTTAACTTGTTATACTTAAGATGGTAAATACTATCTTAAATAAATGCATGATTAATTCTCTCAAAAACAAAAGACAAAAAAAAAAAAAAAAAAAAAAAAAAAAAAAAAAAAACCCTTCAGTTCTTTCATCTAAACCACATGATCTCAAAGCTTTCAATGGGTAGCTTACAGGAACTTGATCCTGCAACCTGGGTAAAAACTTCACTGCAATACAGCTCAGTGATCAGTGAAATCAACTTGTCACATATGTATACACAACACATTTACCTGAGACAGCTGGCAGAATTTTAAAGCCCTCCCCAGAACCCTGCCACCTCCCCACACTACAGAATAAGGAAGTTTCACACAGTAATTCATTCTCTTCAGTCATTACCCAGGGCATGGTGACCCAACCAGTCACATAGCTCTTCTAATTATATGATGTGTGGGTGTCCTAGAAACTAACAAATAAAATATAACAGTAACAACAATTCTTCCAAAGGTCTACCCAAAAGAAATTATCTGGGGCTGGAGGTGTCACTCAGCAGGAGAGAGCTTGCCTAGGATGCAGGAGGCCCTGAATTCTATCTTGAATACTGAAAAGCAAAAAGAGTTCTTATGAAAACAATAATTTAAAAAGGTTGTTGGGCTGGTGGTTCTCACCTATAACTCAGCACTCAGGAACCTGAGGAAGGAGAACTATCATGAGTTTGAGATGAACCTGGGCTAAAGAGTAAATTTCAGGTCAGCCTGGCTGGAATGAGACTTTGCCTCAAAAAAACTAAAATTAAATTGAAATAAATAAAACATTAAAAGGTAAGCAACACAAATTAGAATAGATTCCTGACAACAAACTAAACCCAACACCCTATTGTCACCCTACTGTTCGCTTTCAATCCCATCAAACTGAAATCCAGCAGATCATGAGAAACTGACCACTCACAAAACCACAGAACTGAGGACTCAATTTCAATGCACAACTAGGTGAAGAGCTTCAAGTGACCACAGAGCCTACCTTCATGTCCCTTGAGGGTCGTGATCACTGAACACATGCTCTGTTCAAGCTTCAGCAGGGTGATCTGTCCTGAATAATCACCAACAAAGGCATACTGAGTATCAAAATCATATCTGAGGAGAAGCAGTCAGGGATGCATAAAAGGACCCGTCTCAGCATGCCCCCCGCCCCAGATAATTATCAACTCTGGACAAAATTGTAACACAGAACTCAGGTATCCTACCACAATAACCACAAATCTAAAATCACAATTTGAACGGCAACAACCAAATGAAAATCATACAACATCTTCATTTTGGCCTGATGAATTAGTGTTAACTGAAGAAGATGAATTACTTTAACTTCCCATAAATTGTTCCATAGCCGAACAGTCACTATTTATGGAGGTAGTAAACTTAAGGCACAGTAACTACTGCTAACCATTCACTAGCTTCTCAGTTTGTGGCCATAGACATTTGTAGAAAACCAGAAATTCTATATACAATAAGATAGGCCAAGCGGAGAAGGGAAAGCCAGGTCATGGCTGTAATGCTGTGCCATGTTCTGTAACCCACTGAGGCACCTCACACACCAAAGAAAATCTCACTTGGAACATAACATATGAGTGTCTCTCCCTTGTTTGACCCTATGCTGTATGTACAACTTTAAAGGGTTGTTTTAAACATCTCATGCTATGCATGGAACAAGTATTTTAAAAAATATTTTTATATTTATTTATTTGGGGGTTGGTGATGAGCCATGGTGCATGTGTGAGGTCAGAGAACAATTGGCAAGAGTCAGTTCTCTTCTTCACCCATCTGGGTCCCAGGGAACGAACTCAAGTTGTCATGCTTGGGTGGAAAGCACCTTAACCTGCTGAGCTATCTTGCCAACCCATAGCAAACATTTTAAATAAAAGCATTCATTGAGGGGGAAAAAAAAGAATTTTGCTTTGCCAGTCATGCAGCTCTAAAGGAAATCTGCCCTGGGTGTTATCTATTGCTGAAGGTCTCAACCTTGTCAAACCTTGTCATCACTGGAATTCACAGCAAACAGAGGTAGCCTTCATCAAAGGTGAGCTCTGTGTGAAATAAACTCCACACAGCTATGGGAAATACTTAAAAGCTGTGACTATTCAGGTGTTGAGAGAACCTGAAGCACCTTTAAAAGCATTATAAACTAAGTATTATAAACACTCATTTTTTAAAAGTATTAAATGAAAGTTTTATATGAAACTCTTTGTAGTCCACTTATAAACCCCAAGGTTCACATAATTATTTATGGTATATTTTCTTTTTAGATTCTGTAAATAACCAAATTACTAGAAGATCATCTCTTTTTTTCTTCTATCAATTTATAGTGCAAAGGAACAAAGGGCAGGGTGCATTCAAGAGGTTCTCATTTCCTATAATTTTGTATTAGAAACTTTAGAACCTCCCACAGAGAACATCACATTCATATGATTAGTTTTGAGAGCCATTTTCAACCAAAGAAAGGTAGACACATAGATTCTTGGATTTTAGGTTCAAATCCATAGGATCATTCTCCCTTCACATCTCAACTAACAACTAGTGATTCAATTCAAAATCAAATAGTGAGAAAGGAGGTGGTGGGAAGGAGCGGTTGGGTCCTCTGAAGGATACTGTAAGCATGAAGCCCAGGACGTGAAGAAGTGCCGGCCCAGCATGTTCCCGCTGCGCGTGCACATCCAACTGATACACTTGTCGTGGCCAGTGCTGATCACCCACTCGGAGGCCAAGCTGAAGATGATGGCAGACACCCGGTTCTGATGGGCTGCAGGAAGACAAAGGGAGAGTAGGTGCCTTTCAGGAAGGAGGGCGGTGTGCAGAACACCACCCTCTGAGCTGAGGCTCAACTTCAGAGACACAGAGGCATGCACACGTGTGTAGGCATGAACGGGCACACTCTGCAGATTCCAGACAATCTGCTCTTCCCCCATCTTCCCATGCATGAACACAGGCTCCTCTGAAGGCCCTGGGCTGCACTACCTTGGATGCTGTCAGAAGCCAGGAACCACTGAAGAGACATGTTTAAGAGGGGTTCCAATAATAGAGGACAGAGGGTTTTTTTTTTCTCACTGTGTTCAAGGGAAAGTTTTCCTTTTTGCTCTAAAAACATTAATGTGTGTCCATAGGGACAGCAGCAGACTTTCCTTAACAGAGTAAATATGTTTTCTATCATTGATTACTTCAGTGTTTTGACCCTCTAGAAAACATGGGTAGTGGTCTTGCCTCCCCCGGCATGATGGACCCTAACAGTATACGACAAGATAAAGCTTCTTCCCTTAAGTTGTTCTTTGTCGGGTATTTGGTCATAGCAACCAGCAACCAGAAAAGTAATTCGTACACCTGGCTAATGTCTTTCTGTCTATGTCTAGTAGAAAATAGATCAATTTTAAAATAAATCTTTATAGTTAAGATGTTTAAAAATATACTGGCATTGTATCTAAGAACAAATGCAATTTTGTGAGATTTAAATAGAAGCCTTTCTCTGGAATAATTCCTTGTAAAAGTATCTGTAAGGTTCTCTACATAATAGCTGAGAAGGAGGAAGGTTTTCTATCACTTAACTTCTGAAATACTTCCAGGTTGATTATAAGCCACACCAGACCTGAATCTGTTTCATCTGGCACAAGACTTCACATATAATAGGTGTCTAACAAATGCTGAGTCTGGTGGATAAAGGCAGAAGCTAGACAGCGAAAATGCTGACTTTGCTCTCAGCTGTGGAAGAGCTCAGAGACTCTGGAGTTTATGTGATGATCATGCCCACCTACTGTGAGGAGGTCATACTTAACAACTAAATACTCCTGAAAGAGCCTCAAAAGGGACTGCTGACAGCCCTTGATCCTGAGTTCCAGCAAACCAAGTCCCGGCTTTTCCTACAGAAATTGCTATGTGGCCTTTTTTGTTTGCTTGACTTTTTCTCCCGTTTCAATGATATTTCTAATTTCCACAGACACAGGGTGTATATAACACCCATTTCCACATAAGAAAACACAAGTGTGCACTTTATTCATTGAACATGTCTCACAAGTAACAGATTAACTTGAGTTGTCTAACTCCAAATACTATTTCTACTAAATCTATAGATGTCAAACTCAGACAGGGTTTACACTTGTTTGTGGTAAAGACCTTGGAATGAACAGTCCATTATTTTTTTTTTCTCACTAAGAACTGTTTATTTTTATTTTTTTGGTTTTTTGAGATAGGGTCTCCCTGTAGCCCTAGCTGGTCTGGAACTCATTATGCAGACCAGGCTGGCCTTGATTTCCGCCTGCCTCTGTCCCCTGAGTGTTGGGATTAAAGGTGAGTGCCACGGTGCCTGACAGGAAGAACTGGCTATTTATTTATTTATTTTAGTCTTTTTTGAGACAGGGTCTCCCTGTAGCCCCAGCTATCCTGGAACTTACTATGTAGGCCAGGCTGGCCTTGAACTCACAGAGATCCGCCTGCCTCTGCCTCCCGAGTGCTGGGATTAAAGGCGAGCCACGCCCGGCCAGAACTTTTATTTTTAAGATTCTATCCCTTTCTGCTGTCATAGTTTTTCAATATTTTCTTTTAAGAAATTATGGTGAGGGGCTGGAGAGTTAGCTCAGCAGTTAAGAGCACTGGTTGCTCCTGCAGAGGGCCAGGTTCAATTCCCAGCACCCTTATGATGGCTGAAAAACCAGCCCTAATGCCAGTTCCAGGGGAATCCAATACCCTCTTCTGATCTCCTCAGGCACTGCATGACACAGTTGCACTTAAATACAAGGAGGAAACACACTTATACACATAAAATAAAAATAATAAAATATTTTTTAGAACATTATGGTGAAATCTACTAATGGTTATTTTGCTTCATTGACAGTTTGTAAATTCTCTCACTAGGCAAAATCAAAACTGTAGCAATCTCTATTCAGCCTTCTACATGGTTTTAAAAATATTGTTCACAGGCTGGAGAGATGGCTCAACAATTAAAAGCACTGGCTGTTCTTGTAGAAGACCTGGGCTCAAATCCCAGCACCCTCATGACAGCTAACAACTGTCTGTAACTGTCTGACGCTATCTTCTGACCTCCGCAGGCATTGTACTACAGAGGTGTACTTACATACATGCAAGCAATACATTCATACGCAGAAAATTAAAATAATTAAAAAGTTAAAAAATATTATTGACCATTGAAATGCAAAGTCCAGAAACCACTACACAAAGTGTGCTGCCTTATAGTCCACAGGGAATTCTGACAACTTAAATATAAATAAAAATTGGGGAAAATGTATATGTCAAAGATATTCCAAAGCAAAGGTACTTTGAACTCAGAACACACTATGGCTCCCTGGGCAAAGGGGTAAAAATCATGAAAGGACATGCCTAAAAGACAACAAATGCTCAACACTAAATAAAGCTGAAATTATTTTAAAATTGTGAACTTTTCTGTCAAGCTGGTAAAAAAAAAATTACAAGCAGCAATGTTAGGCAGACTCAGCAAGAGGGCACTCTAGGACACTTACTACATACGGGACTATAAAAATCTGTGTTTTTACTGAGAAGCAGTGTGCAAAAACAGACCCAGAGCACTAAAAAAAATTAGTGTTTGACCAAGTCATTCCACTTTAGGAACTTGTCTTAAGTAGAAGTCATCAGAAGTATAAAGCTAGAGTCAGTGTAACAGTCAAGAGTACACACACATCTATACACTCACCTACTAATCACACATACAGACATGTACATACACACATAAACACACAAAGATAGTATAGTACTATCCAAAACTATAAGCAGTATACATATCCAACAACAGAGGAATGATTAAATTAAGTCTTGTACACTTACCCAATAAACGAAATTTCTGGTGCTAGAAAGCAGGAAAGGATGGCAAATAGCACTTAGCTTTCTCTCATACAGCTGGGGCACTAAAACTAAAAAGTTAACATGGAGACCTAACTGAGACCACAAGAGATGATATTCTAGTTCTGTGTGAACATCTACATGCATACACATGCAAGAGTGTGTACATATATTCTTACCTGGGTAGGTCTTGATAAAATTCATTTTATTAAAATCTTCAGAAACATGAAATTCCTGAAAGTAAACACATGCAATAAGAAAACTGTTAAAACAACAAGAACTTAACTTTCAAAATAAAATAAAGCTCGAAAACTCTGTCTTAAGACCTGGCACTCCACAAGAGCTGCTGAGGGGCTGTGAACTGCTCCTCCCAGCAAACCTGTCATCATTTGAAGAGGAATCAAACATAAGGAACAGAACAGAGAAACTGCTGCTGACCAGCACAGCAGCACTTCATCCAGTGCTTCCTGCCCTATGCAAACTCTCCCTCTACCTGCAAATGCTTGCTAGTTCTGCTCTTTTGGCTACACAAAAATAAATGTAAAGACTGGTCAACAGAGTTCATGGCCAACCTCTGTGCAGAAGGAGAAAGTCACCTAAGCATGAGCACCCACACCTATTCAAACACCAAGCCCTATTTCCTGGAGCGCTGCTGAAGTCTTCACCTCTCAGCCACCACCTCCATGTTTCACAATCTGGGTTGGGGTCCTGATACAGCCTCCTGACCCCCACTTTCCACCTGGCCACCTCCAGTCCTTCCCCTTCACACTGGCATACTGAGCTAGTAGAAACCAAAAGCTGAGCCCTTACAGCCCTCCTTAATACATGTCAGCAGTTCCCCCACTGAGGTGTTTCCTTAATGCAGTTGCACTAAGCATTGCCTAGAGGACCTGCTGAAACTCTGATGCCCAGTCCTGAGCCCAGAGATTCTGAAGCTGTCTGACTTAGATTTACATGAGTTTCCTGAATGATTAGTGTGGCTGGACAGGTCTGAGAGCTCGGATGTAAGAAGTCTTAACCCCTTAGTAGTGTACTTGAGGACCATGCTTTTCCCTCTTCCCCAGCTGCCTCCACTTCAGTCCTAAATGCTGAACTTATTCAAGACTTAGATCTGAGTTGTCTGTCTCCCAGGTGGTCAAAGTCATTCTTATGGCTTGAAAAATGGCCTACAGGCTGGTAACTCCAAGGCCTAGACTTTCCTGTGGGTCCTGGCTTATATATCCAGCACCACCTTGGCAATGCCACTTGAGTGCCTCAATGGTACATGGCTAACGGACCACTGTCCCCCTTCTTCCCCAACTACTACCTCAAGTCTTTCCCTCCTCAGTAAATGATAACACAGTCCAACTGGCACAAGGCCCAAACCAAGTGTATCACCTGACCCACTTCCTCTTTATCCTCCCACACTCAACCTATCACAGACATGCCAAGAGGCATCTTGGGATCATCCTCTGTCTCAGCTACACTGTCCTCCCAAATTCCAGACTGTATCCCATCTCTTCCTTCCATTCTTGTTGCCCTTCAATCCAGTCTCTACAGAGAAGTTAGTCTTTTAAAGAATATACCAGGTGAGGGACTCAGCAGTTAAGAATACTGGCTGCTCTTGCAGAGGACTCAAGTTTGATTCCCAGCACCCACATAATGGCTAACAACCATCTGTAACTACAGTTCCAGGGAATCCATCACTTTTTTCTGGCCTCTGTGGGCATTGTACACATGGGTGTACTTACATACATGCAGGCAAAACATTCATATACAGAAAAAATAAATAAATAAATTTAAACACTAACTTAAAAAAAAAAAAAGAACATAGCCAGGCATAATCTCAGCACTTTGTAGGTAAGGCAAAATATCATGGGTTTGAGGTCAGCTTGGGCTATGCGGTGAGTTCTAGGCCATCCTGAGCAATATAATGAAATCCTATGAGAGAGAGAGAGAGAGAGAGAACAGTATATCATTTGTCTGTCTACAATACAATTTATAACACTATTCAGACCTATAAGGCCCTGCGGGACCTGGTCTCTGCCCATGTCTCCAGCCACCCCTGGGTCCATCCCTATCATTTAGTACCACCCAGCCAGGATAGCCTTGAACACACACAGACCCTTTTCTACCTCGAGTCTTCATAAGATATTCACTTCAGGAAACTGTGCCCTGACTCACTTGGCTGGCTTGTGACAATGGTACCAAGAAAATACAACAGGCAAAGGAAATACAAATGGTGTGATAACTGGATAACCATATGCAAAGGAATCAATGTGGAACCTTCCCTCAGGCCATCTATGAAGATTAATTCATAAAGGAGTAAAGATCTAAATACGGAAACTAAACTATACAACACTTAGGAGAAAGTATTAAGTATAAATTATTTGTTCCGATAATGAGATGGGGCACATTCAGGGTGATATGATATGGCCAGAGACTTGTTTATTCCTATAAAAATAAGATAAATCACCTTAAATTAGACAATCGCTTCTTAGCTAAAGTACAAACACCCAAAACAGGAAAAAAAGAAAAACTAGATCTCATAAAACTGAAAAATAATTGAAAAGATAATCCTTAAGATAGGAAGAAATATCTGCAACTCTGTATCTGATAGGGGTCTAGTATCCAGCACAAAAAAAGAACTCTTACAAACTAAACTCAGCTCCTGGGATGGAGGCACATGCCTGTGAGCCCAGAGTTTGAGAGGTAAAGGCGGGAAGGTAGTGTGCTCGCAGGTGGTTTGGGCTATATAGCAAGGCTCTGTCTCAAAAGACAAAAATTAAAAATGGACAAAGCACTTCCTGAAATGTTAGAGTCACCACATGACCCAGAAATTCCACTCCTATATATAACCAGCAAATTGAGAGTACATATTCACATAGAGCCTTGTGCATGATTCTATAATAGCATTATTCACAACTGCCTAAGGAGGAAATCATGCAAATGTCCATCAACCAATCAATGGACAAAGTGCAATTGATCCATATAATAGGATACTATTCCACCATAAAAAGGAATGAAGTAACCAATTCAAACTTCGACAGGAATGACCCCTGAAGACACATAAAAGACTACATAGAGTGTATGATTCTATTCATACAAATGTCTAGAACAGACGATTCCTATACTCAGAAAGTAGATGAGTGATAGGCAGCTGGGGAAAGGCGCACTGGGGAGTGACACTAATAGATATGGATTTTCTTTGGGGGATGTGAAAATGTAATTAAAAAGCTTACACAATCTAATAAACATAAAAAATATTACAAAATCATTTAACTGTACATTTTAGAATGACTATTATAGTACATGAGTTACATTTCAATTAAGAAAATAAATATGTACACACAATTAAATACATAAAAAAATCAGTCAATTATAGGCTGAAAATTTAAATATCCATCACCGAAAGTGGTTTCTCTGCTTCCAGAGTCACAAGAGCAGCTGGCTGAATACCTAGTCCCTCTTCACCTCTCTTTTACACAGAAACACACACATATGCACACATGTACATGTGCAAGAGTACATGCAGGCACAGTGACAGAGGCCCTCCACCACTATGTTAAAGATGGGAGTTGCTACAGGGCTTGTGTTCACTGTATAAAGGCTGTGCTTGGTGGGTGACCCAAGTACCAAGACAGCATTTTGAGCTCCATGCAAGTAGTTTAAAAGTAAGCACTAATTAAAATTAACCCATTTTCAGGCCTAACATGTCTACCGAATTAAACATTTCTCAGGTCAAACAGCCTGCCCAACGTAAGTGAACACGGGGTGGTCATACAAAGGGCATATTGAAAACACTGTAGACTCTACCTACCATTACAGCCCCATTATCCTGGCCCACAAATATCCGTCTGCTGTCGTGCTGGTAAGTCATAGCAGAGCAAGGAGCTGCCAGAAAGACAAAGACCACATCATGAGAAAAGCTAAGCCATTGTTTAAAGCACATTATTACTAAAAAGAGTTATATGATTTTGGCTAAAAGATGGTAAAAGTGTTTTATAAAAAAAAAATATACATTGAAAAAGTTTAAATATTTAACTCTGTAAATCTTCTCAAAAGTACTTGTAGCATTTTGGAGGAAGTGAGCACAGTGTGAAGTCTCATCTCACTGGGACTCCAATACAGCCTGGAACTGTCTGGGGACCAGAGCTTCTGGGGCATGACCTGACACTGGGACACACCGGTCACCCTGCCCCCACACCCTTCCCCAGCAAAGATCAGTGAATAGCTGGACTCTGTAAAAAGAAGATTCTGTACCAGGATTCCCATCCAATGGCATTGCATTACACAGGTACACTTACATGCATGTAGCCAAAACAGTCATACACATAAAATAAAAATAATTAATTAATAAAAAGGGAGAAGGTTGAAAATTAATACAGGTTATAAAAAAGAAAAATGTAGTTCATTTTTCAAATTGATGGCAATTGGAAAAGGTACCTTATAATCTGAAATCATATGCTTAAAACTCAGAACTGACAGCCCAATCTAGCCTCCTGAAGGCTTTGTTAGTATAGTTTCCGGTGTTCTGGAACCAAGCCTGATCCATTCACTATTCACAAGTGCTTTATGCTGTAGTGGCAGAGCTGAGAAGCTGTTGCAGACTGTTGGAATATCAGAATTTACCATCTGGCCCTGAGCATAACACATTCATAGACCTGCCGCCTGCCTTGGGTGGTTTGAGTCATAAGCAGATGTAGACTAGAATTATAACCACAAGCAATTGACAATCTCTCTGGCCTCAATTTCTTTGTTTAGAGAATGGCAGTGATGACCTCATCAAATTATAATTACAAGAAGAGAAGGCATGGGGCACAAAGGAACAGAAACAGTGTCATCATTTTCCTCCAGCAACAGCAGATTCTCAAAGTGACTCTTTCAAGCTTACAGAAGATGAATGGCCCCTCTACAGCAACATGTAAAGGTTTAAGCTTGGTTAGGTCACAAGAAGGCTTAAGTTGGTGGATGACCACTAACATGTCCCAAATGTGCAATCTATAGATGGCTTATAGAACCAAATACTTTTCTTGTATTTTGATTTTAATTTTGCAAGAGAAGTCACTTTAAAATAGTAGCAGTTACCTTTCCTCATTCATTTGCAATGTTTTCTCCTGGCCACGTTCTTGCAGTCTAGGCATGACGGATCACACCTGGAGCTCAGCACTTGGGAGGCTGAGCAGGACAGCTGAGTTCCACGCCAGCCTAGGCTACAGACAGACCTCATGTCTCCAACAGCAACAACAAAAGGCAGCACGTGAAAGCAACAGGCCAAGCATGTGTAGACACAAGCATAGCACATGGTGCCAGCTGCCCAATGTAGAGCCCAGGGCTGCTCTCTAGTTCCTCCTCCTCGAACTGGGAGCTACCTCAACAGGGCCAGTGAAGCCAAGTAGGGAATGGATGTGGAGAGAGGGCTACAGTCAGGTGCCCATGGGGTGTTGGTGTCCTGTGGGAAATTTTCACTATGTAGACCAGGCTGGCCTCAACCTAAGAGATCCACCTACGTCTGCCTCCCCAAGTCCTGTGGGAAAAGTTCATCAGTGAGGGGCCAGTGAGATGTCTCAGTGGGTAAAAGGTACTAACTACCAAGATTTATGAGCTGGGTTTGGTTCCTAGGACCTACATGTGGGAAGAAGAGAACAGAATCCCAAAAGCTGTCCTCCGACCTCCATGTGTGCACCCAAATATATGCATATACACACATACCAACCAACCAAATAAATAAATAAATAAATGTAATTATTTTTAAATAATTACATAAGTTTTAAAAATTTATCACAAAATTATATAAAATATTCAGAGGGCAAAAGTCTAGGGATGATGTTCAGTAGTAGAGCATTTTGCTTAACAAGCGAGTGGCCCTGAATTTTCTCCCCAGCAAAGCGAAAAAAAAAAAAAAAAAAAAAAAAGAGTAAAAGCAACTGGGGGAAAATGCAAGCTAGAGAGTACCAGCTAAATATGGAACACACCCCACCTCAGTCTCTGTCTCCAATGAGCAAGATGTGCTGGAGCACCACAGCTATAGAGAAGCCAGACAACCACCCCTCCTGCCAGGACGTTTCTCCGCTGTCCTTGCTCCACTGTTACCTGCAGGCCACCGGTGCTGAAACAGCTTATTTTGTGCAAGCAAACGGCTCCAGGAGAAGAGGGGACCATGTGTTTCCCAAGGACAACTTAGCTCAGACTCCAGAGCTGTGTATGCTCTTTATTTCCCAACCCTACATAATCTATAAACACCTCCCCCCAGTCCCCTGCACAATCAAGGTAAGGTAGGGTTGTTGCTACCTCACTGCATAAATGCAGTCCAGTCTGCTGAAACGTCTGTCTCTGGTCATTTATCTGAACTTTACTTCTGCTCTGCTCTTCTAAATCTAACACGAGCTATGGAGGAAAGGAGGGGAGAGGAACAATACAAACAGCACTCAAGAGATTTTCCATCATGAGGACAAGACATTCCTGGCACTGGAATGAATTCCAGGATGCTATTACTTCCAGCTGGCCACTGGGAAGGAAGGACTTAGCAGCCCAACAGAAGCCTACTGTGTGCCTGCAGGAGCTAAAGAGGCCCAGGGGATCTCACCTACCTCTGCCCTGTTTACCAAACAGGCTCATAAGCATCTCTACTAGGACATCAGTCACTTTACATTTCAAGGCAAAAATTCTGATGAAAAAACCAGGTTATTCATCTCCTACCCTTGGAGACATCAACGATGAAAAGGTTCCAGTGCTTGGTATAACACATCGTATGATCAGGTTTTCAGATCTGAGGTGCTAGGGATTCCTTTGCTAATAGCTTTAAGTGGTATTCCAAAAGTTTATTTCATTTTTTAAAAGTATTTTATTTGGCCTGTGTGTAGTAGGCGCATGCCATGGTACACATGTGCCATGGTGCGCATGTGCCATGGTGAGCCCGTGTCAGTCAGAGGACGCCTGCAGGAGTTGGTTCTCTCCTACTGTGTAGGTCCTGGGGATTGGTGGCAGATGCCTTTACCTATGGAACCATCTTGCTGGGACTCTATTTTATCCTCACTGAATGATGACAAACACAAAAAAAGTTGCCTAGCTTGTCCAAGCAAGCTATTGGTAAAAAGTCTGACACTTACAAACTACTAACTTTTGGTGGAATGACCACAGGATCCAAACACAGCATGTGCAGTGAATATACGAGGACCTGCTGTGAGGGAATGGCTTGGGAGGATAACTCTCATGACATATAATAGGCTGAATAACTGGCTGCTCTGTGTTAATAATAAACTCCACAGTTTTGGAATACTACTTAGGAAAGCTGTTGACTGATGTCAGTAGTATTTGGGACAAGTGTCAGGAGCCCTCCTCTGGGCAACTTACTATGATCCTCAGCAACAAACAAACCATCAAGCAAGCACCAAATCCACTTTTCTTTGCCTAGGGGGTCATCTGATAATAGAAACTCTGAACTAAGGAAAATCTATCACCAAGGAACAGTGTCTCAAGGAGACCCCACAGTCATGGCTGCCTTCTTTGTAGAAGGATTCACCTCCCACTTGGCCTTGGGTGGCATCCAGGCATTCCGGGCAGAGCTCTGTCTTCAAGAAAGACTGAAGAGAAACAGGAGAAAAGGATGGCAGAGTAATGGTACCTAGATCAGCTTAAGAATTCACAGGTAATTTTCAGTCAGGGCATCCTAAAAGGTAGGGTCTCATGTAGCTTGGGCTGGCCTCAAACTTTCTGGAGCTATGCCCCACCATGCACAATTTCATGCAGTGCTAGGGATTGAACTGAGGGACTCAGGCATGCTAGGCAAACACTCTACCAACTGAGCTACATGCCTAGCTTCTGAGAAGATGCTCCACGTAGAAAGGGCTACACCTGCCGGCCACATCTCTCTGTGGCATCCAGGGGAGAGTGAACATCAGGCAAATGGCTGAGCATAATTACAGAAGTATATGGGGATTGTGTAGTGCCATGTCAACTATTAACTATTGAGCAAAAGGTCACTACTGGGAGTCTGCAAGATGGCTCAGTGGATAAAGGCACTTGTTGCCAAGCCTGAAGACCTGAGTTCAATCCCTGGAACCCATATGATGGAAGGAATGAATCAAGTCCCTCAAGTTGTCCCCTAACCTCCACATACTCACACACAACAAATAAATGTTAAAGCAAACAACTTTTTAAAAGTCACTACTGAGTTAAAATTATACAAATTAAGACAAAGGAAATGGGGGAGCACGCCCTTTTCCTTTTAGTTTTCTTTTTTTCAGTTTTGTTCCTGTGTTTCAGTTAAGCCAGTAGACCTGACTTCCTTTATAAAAGAAAAAGAGTTTTCCTGGAGTTTATTACAGCCTGTCAGATGTCTTAGGCAACAAAGGAACTCATTCTGAAATCCAGTAGCAACTTTCCGTCAGGCATTTTGAAATTTAAATCATTGAAAGCATCTGAAGACAATGTCCTCGGGGGACCGTTTCCAGACTTACAGGCCATTGTGTGGTAGATGCTGGGCCAGTACTGGCCACTGTCTCTCTTCAGCCATACTCGGATGGTTCTGTGGAAACAGGAAGAGAAAGTATGCTTAGTAATTTTATCTTCTTTTGCATTCTAGAAAAACTTTGTTATTAATTTTAAAAATTCGACATATGTTCTCCCTCATACGTGGATCCTAGAACCAGACACTGATAAATAAGTATGTATCTAGACATAACTACAGGGACCAGGATAATGGAAAGGAAACAGGGAGGTAAAGGAAAAGAAAGAACATGAAA